TTAGACTTGAATACAGGACATTGCAAAAAGTTGATGAAAATAGATCATACTGAGATGGTTGCTAGAAAGGGCAGGGCTAATAGATGGAGACATTTAAGAAGAGATTGAGGCAGCCAGATACCACATCAAACTCTTGGTCAACCTTTTAGGAAGCACAGTAGAAAGTATAATAGGATCTTACTCAGGTAGATTCCTTGATAGAGAGGACAAGCAAGCCAGAGTCTTTGTATCTTTAATATCTTTATATTCTTTATCACACCTAAAATCAGGGCAAAAGCTGTATTCTTTACCTGCCCAACTCTTTGCCTGAGTCCACTTGATGAGCAATACATGTCCTTTCTCAAGATCTCCCATTGCTGAGAAATGGCTCTTTGTCAAAATGTAATGAAATCTGGGAAGTATCAATGGACTGAGTTGAATAAAAGGTGGTACACACAAAACAGAAGTGGGTAGGTAGTTTAGATCTATAGGATAGAAAATATGAAAACTCATTGCAAGTGAGATTTGTTTGCCATAAAAATTTATTTTTCTACCAGATAACAGTTCCAGCACCTTAGAAATCTGAATCCACATATTTCTGTACTATTACTCTAGGTTGCAAGGTCTTAGGTCAGAGGGGATAGTAAAGTGGAAGGACATTTATTTATCGTGATTTCATTTGACTTGCACACAAAAAAAAATAGTTTATGCAATTACCAACAAATGTCAACAATCATCAAAGTTGCAGTCACAATGATACAGAAGGCATCAAAAATTCCTGTGCAGGGGAATAGAATATTTTCCTTACTTGTATTTGTTTGTGTACACATAATCACACGTGTGTACGTATTTATATGTGCATGTATATATACACATCTACATGTAGGTATTTGAATAAGTGTGTATACATGTGTGTATGCATAAAAGTATGTGGGTATGTGTTCACATACATACATATATAAAGTTTCAAATTTTTTTCCGTAAAATCCAGGGCAATAGGTAGAGATGATTATTATTTTACAGATGGTAAAGTCAAATTACAGTAAAATTAAGAAATTGGTCTAAATTCTCTTTAGCTTATTTTATTTTATTTATAACATATACCAACTCCATTAGTTCCAAAAAGCTATTTGCAATTGTTTCAGTGCCTATCTAGGGACAGTAATGGGTGAGATGACTGGTCCAGAGATTCTACTACTCAACCAAGTTGTTCAGAAGGGGACGAGTTCTGTGTTTAAATCCTGACCCCACACTTACCTATCTGAAACCTCGTGAAAGTCATATGAGCTCTTTAAGTCTTATTTTCTTAATCTACTAAATAGGGGATTAAAATACAGCCTGCTTTGCAGAGTTGATCCGAGGCTTAAACAAGATAATGACTTAAATAGTTCAGTGTACTGCATGGCAAAGTCAACATTTAATGGCTATGAGTGAAGCTCTTCAATGGATCCACGATTTGGCCTGTGCTGTATTCGGTCTTGTGTTAATAATATTTTTGAGAACAGCAAATTGGCCTCTCTTAATAAAATAAATACACCACCATACCTACTAAAAACTCTATGGTAAAATAGTATTCTAGAGCATTTTTCTTTTTTTAATATGGAGGGATCTGGCTTCTGTATGAATAAAGAAAGAAATCTATAAACCCATTTGCAGTGACAGAAAAGCCCTACTTTGAACCTGTGTTTATGTGTGTCGTCATCTCTCCCTCACAGATCTGCAATTATTACACAATGTTCTGCTCTTTTAGATGGCAAGGTCACAAGAATGTATAGTTTAAAAACTGCATTTTGCAAAGGATGAGTATTATTTTAGAGTCTGGGAAACTTCAAAATAATTTGAGTGCCTTCTGTGTTTTGTCTCATTAGGTAAAGGCAAAAAAAGTTCCAGGTTTTTTTTTTTTTTGTTTTTTGTTTTTTTGTACCAATATACAGCTTGTATTTTAATTAAAACAAGAACCAAGCTCATGACCAGAGGGAAAAATCATGAAACAGAAAGCCTAGACGACATAATAGGGCTATGGCTGGAGAGGAAGAAGAACAGTTTTAAACTTGGGCATCTTCTTAGCAAACATCTTTTTCAAATGTATTGTGCATTATCCTCCCCCCTCCTGCCACTTAGCCAGGAAAGAGGCTTAAGGGCTGTCAGAGACAGAAGTTTACGGAATCCTAAAAATAAAGACATATTTATGGGAGGCTACATTTCTTCTTATGCCAGTGAATTAGCAAGTGGGACACATCTTCATATTTCAATGTTAGCATCTGAATAGTCTCCATTTAGTTCCTAGAGCTGCTGTAACATTTAATGCTCCTAGTTAACCTAAATAGGCTGAAAACAATTGTTCCAGTACTTAAGAGGTTATCTCTACTACTTTCCCTGTGAAGTCATTATATAAGAACAATATGATCTGGCACATTTAAGGTTTTAAACCTGCATGAGGTTGAATGATTATGAAATAATTGACAACATTAGAGAGGCTGACAGTCAAAGTCAAGTTTCTTTAATTTCGCGCAAGTATACAATAGGCCAGGACTGCTCATCTTCAGTGCTTTCAACATTTGAGGCCAGATAATTCTTTGTTGTAGGGGATTTTCCTCTGCATTTTAGGTTGTTGAGAAGCATCGTTGGTCTCTATCCACTAGATACCACTAGCATGTCCCCAGTTATGACAATCAAAAATGTCTCCAGGTATTGCCAAATATTCCCCCAGAGGGTGAGGACCCTGGAGAGGGTCACTGAGATAGACTGTTCTCATCTTGAAAAGGCAGTCAAAATACTGCGGCTAAAATAGGATATCCTGCACACAAAGTGCTCCTAATTAGCTGGGTGACTGTCAACAAGTTAGGTAACATCTCCACGCTTCAGTTTCCTCATCTGTAAAATGAAGATGATAATAATAAGAACCTTCTTCATAGGGGTGTTGTGAGGATTAAACAAGATAATGCCTATCTCACGGTAAGTGTTCAATGAATGTTAGCCATTAGCATAGTTTCACGGTTTTTTTTCCTTCTGACATAAGTTAAAGATCCAAACAACAGAAATGTAATTAAAGCGGGGAGGGAGGAGGTTTGAGCGCAGTTACACTATTACAGATGAATATCTTTATGTTTCACAGTGGTCGAGTTACAGAGGCTCAACTATTGCATAATCTTGTATCCCAACTTGCTAAACAGCTTCAGTTATTGCTTAATATATTTTATTATCTTTTAAGCGAGAGTCCTAATTCATCAAAATTATGGGCTGCTGCCAGATGATTCTTCTGTAAATACTGTAAATTCTTTTGTAAAAAAAATAACTGCTCTATTATCATGTGGGGTTTTTTTTGTTTTTTTTTTTAAAGTCTTGACATGGTGCCTGGTCTTTTCCCTTGAGTTCTTTCCTCACCATTGGTCATATAAATATTATTGTATTATTCATTGAAATAATAACAAAAGCTACCATTTTTAAGAGCAACTTACTGTGTGCCAAGCTAAGCCCTTCACATATATTATTATTTCACTCAATCCCCCAAAATACAACCTTAAAAATTAGGTAGGTTTCTCAGAGTGGTGAAACTAATGTGCTCCAGCCAGCAAAAGTCAGAACAAGTCCAAAACCTAGACTGATGCCTTCAAAGCTTACGCTCTTAAGATGCAACTTCCCTATCAAAGCTCAGAGAGCTACCCGAAAACTCTTAATCATAACACAAGCTTCCCTTTCTAAAACACTTCCACCCTACCCGTACCTTCTCATACTTTCATTCACTTTCTTCGCTTTCCCCCATTCAGCTAATAATACCTCGAGGGGAGTAGTTATAAAAGAACTACGCTCTGAACACTTTTAAGTCAAGCCTAGTAATTTAAAATGAGAGAGGCAGAGACAGACAGGTATTGGGGAAAGGAAGAAACTCACTTCACATTGGGCTTAACAAGGATTAATAAAATTATCTAAAAGTTGAGTTAAGGAAAGGCTGAAATCCCATTTTCCTGGTATGAAGAAGACTCGCCCAAGGTTGTATAGGTTAGATCACTCATCAAACTCATCCCAGTAATCCAAGTTTTATGTACAGTATGCAAATTTTACTTCAAACTAAGGAGTGCAGGAGAGGAATAACGCTGTTGCCAGAGGCATGTCAAAGTAAGCTTATCTTTTTGAGACAATTTTTAGTGGTGACCCAAAGAAAGCTCCATACCGGAGAGAGCATTGAAAAGTAAGGTCAAAAACTGTGACCTTGGAGGTTCTAGGAAGAGAAGTCATATGACTAGTTAAAAAACAGCAATCTTCTCATCACCCAGTTTGGCTGGGAGAGTGCGAGAGACCAACATGTTTACTGGTTGGCCTCTATGGCAGAATGACTGTGTGGCCCAGGATAAATCACAAGCAACTCTAAGCAGGGTGCATGCCGATGACCCAGTCAGAAGAGCTATGAGTTCTAAGAAGCTCCACAGCCCACAACATTACAGGATTAAGCAGAGTCTCAGAATTCAGCTAGTCCCCTCCTAATACGCATAAGTCTTCCTCAATATCTCCAACATGCATCCAACCTATGCTTTGAAACCTACAGTGATTAGATGGATTCGTCTTATTATTCATCAGTTAATAATGTGGCCATCCTTCAGTCCATATGCTTGCGATCACTAGAGAATGTTGGCTGTGCCATGGCCATCACATAAAGGGAATTGACACTGATATAGTTAATTATGTACATAAGTAACTATATGAAAGCACCTACTATAGGCAGGCACTTTATACATTTACTCAGTAAATAATTTACTCAGGCAACAATAAAAGAGATTAGGGATGGGAGGCTCCTTGAAGTTAAATGCCTTTCCCATCCAAGCTCATACACAATTAAGTGGGCAGGATACACTTCTTGGTCCAGGAGATCCCATAACCACACTTTGCCCGCCACACGGGACACCTGCTGTCAAGTTCTAAATGAGGTTGAAAGAGTTTAGGATATTCAGACTAATAGAAAAAGCAGCCTGTGTAGGTGAAGGGAGAATCTCCCGAATGTATTCCTTGTATGTAGTAACACTTACAGATATGTCATCACTGAAGTCAATTTCATCCAAATCAAGGTATTCAGGGGCTTCCATTATTCTTCTTTGCACATCTTGAGTGAAGTCAAATATTTATAACTTCCTGAACAGGACAGTAGCAGAAAAGAAAGGCAAAGAGATTAGCTGTTTTATAAACAAAAACCGTATCTACATTTAAACAAACAAAATGAGAAAGGTAAGTGGGTGCTAGTGCTGCCTTTGACATTTCCTCTCTGTCCCCAGCCTGGCTTTCGGGAAATGTGAAGCACAGCTCCTCGGGCTCTCCGGCACTGCTCCCCAGCGAGCACCCACGGTCCTCTGCTTCACTTCCCTCGTGCCTGCTTGTCTGTCTTTCTAGAACACTAACTCAGCTCAGAGTCTTCCCCTGTGATCAATATCAGCACTGGCCCAGCCCTCATCTAGCACACACCGCACCTTGGGTGAAAGTCGGGCTTTGGGGGTGAGCAGCCCTGAAAGCTTCGGAAAGCCATATTCGAATGTTTATGTGGGCATATCCCTGGATGCTGTGTACGGAGCAATGAATACTGAATCTCCACAGTAATAACGAACACAAGACAGATACCAGCTAACCAACAGTAATGGGTATGTCAGAATTTGTAGGACAACTTCCAGCTCATCCCTCAAAAAATTTTTTTAAAAAAGGATCTAAATGCAGATTTATACCACAGAGTTATTGCATTGCTCCTGCTTTTAACAGCTTTGCCTGACAGTGCCAGAGTGACCTGCCGCAGGCGCCAGAATGTCCTCAGGCAGTGCTTGCCTCGGGGCTGCCTGTGGCAATTCTCTAAATCTGTCAAGGAAGATACATCACCATCTAGTTCATTTTCTCATCACTTATCATCATCACCAACAGCGGTGGCAATGGCACCTACAGATGTCAAGGACAAATATATAGACCTCCTGGCAGTGCCTCAGTGTGTAGTTATCTTCCGCAGAGCCAGCTCTCAGATATCGAAAAAGATTCCATTTCCTATGACTTGTCTTTATTATGAAAACTGCCTTATGTACTAAGACATGAGAAGTAATTTATTTTCACCTCCTTCACTTCTCTAATCAAGGGGTACTTAGCCAAAGAGGAAGGAATACATTACTGGAAAGTGAAAATAAATCTAGGCCAGTGAAAATTGGCTAATTAATGTAAGATAAAGAATGAAAAATACATATTTTTTTAAAAAGAAACCCTTACTCTGAAGGCATTGCTTTCTCATTTTGAAATTTTGTTTGTTTGTTTGTTTTTAAGCTACACAAATAGTAGAATTACAATGAAGGGGGAAATGATCACTTGCCATCCCATACCTCAAAACCAGCCCTTGATTTAATTTTCAGTGTTTCCTCTCCTGTCCTTCCCACATGCATGTGCCATTTATACATTCTTTTTTTTAAAATACAGCAGATGCAGAATTGGTCCAAGAAGAGATCAGGAATGCTACTACCATGTTCAAATGAGATTTTCCATTTAGAATAAATATTAAAAGTTCTTCTGAGATCACGGTGAGGTTTAAAATGAAAACATACTTTTATTTGCAATATATATGTATATATATCCAGAAATTTTATTATTTATAGAAATCCAAAAATAGCTTCTTAAACCAATTGCTTGGTACAAAAAATATATATCACTTTTCCTCTAATCCTCACAAAACTTTTTGGAGAAAAACACACATACTCATATTTGCAAGTAACTCAAAATAATGTCCTCTTCCATTCTGGTGGATTCTGAGACAATCCAGACTCTGGATTCCAGCTCATCAGCTAACAGACTTTCTTTCAATCCAATTTCTTTTCACTAAGTCTGTTTTCCACAATGAATTGTTGATTTACAGGCTATTCCCACGGCTCTGGTGAACATAAAGATGATGCTTGGTGTCAGGATGGGGTATGAACAAAAATATCACCAGAAACATGGAAATATGGGGAGATGAAGCAGAAAAACATGCATCAAAGTGGGGACCATGTGGATCTTCACATATATGGAAATACAAAACTAAATGCAAAATGCAAATGAACACGTCTTAACCAAGTAAATTAACAAATATTCACTAAGCCCATGTTTTGAGTTGTTCTGACCTTTGAGTTGTTCTGACAATATAAAGAGCAATATACATTCAAGTATAGCCATTCTCATGGAACATATCCAGTGGATAATATAAATCATGTTATTAAAGCAGAAAATCTTTACATTTGGACGTGGAGGATGGTAGTGAGATAATTCTACAGTCCAGAACGCAAGAGTTACAACAGTTCCAGCCCGTTATAGGAAGACCTGGGCCACTGCTCATATTTACCTCAGTGGATTGGATGGTCCAGCCTCAGCCTAAGGGGTCCAAGGCATCCAGGACTCTTCTTTACTTCCTAAAGGCCCTCCATGTGCAGTCATCCCCTTTAAGATGCCTTATTCTATCTATAACCCAATTCCTTTAGTCTGGTTTCAATGCTCTGTCCTGCAAGGTGCCACTTTGAAAGTATTATATCCTCGTTTGTAACGTGCAAAAATCCCTGTGGTTCACCAACCCCAGCCACACATTCCCAACATTGATTGCTTCTTTTCAGTTGGGGTGAGTCCACAGTAGTCCTAGTGGCCATTGCCTCCTCCTTCCTCATCTGCCCTTCCACTTAGCACTCCACTGGGCACTCCAGTCTGAGGAATTAGGGAAGCTATGGGAAGGATGAGGTCAGGTTAGAGCAGTGGCTACAAATAATCAGCGTGATAAGGAAACTGAGCTGGGCTGCGAGAGCTTTTCTCATGCTGCTCTCCTAGCACCATCCACTCCATAGACCGCCTACAATGGAAACCCCTTTTCTGACCAAGAACACACCGGCTCTGATGGAATGTACAGCTACAGATGGCACACATCAGAGCCAAATCTGGCCTACAGATGTGATGACGTGTTTGGCCTTAGCAGTATTTTAAAAATAATCGAATCAGTTGCCAACAGGTAGACTTTGGGTGATTTCACATAAAATTCTGGGCTTTTGGCTTCACTTTAAAAATATCTGAAGCTGTAGCAGCACAGGTCCACGTGACAACAGTTGGCTTTGGCTGAGCTGCAGCTGCCCCTATCTGTCCACAAGGCCTGCTCCCCAGTTTACCAGCTCCCCACCCATCTGCTCTTCATGCTGACACACCCTGCCTGGCCTTTGGGGAATTTGAGTGTTGGATTCTTCAACGGAATTCAGTATTAAACAATAATTACCAACATCTCCCCACTTTTTAAAATTTTCCTGCCAAATAATGTTTACTTCATTTGTATTCTAAGATTGAATTTGCATTCTAAGATTGTTTTAAATTCTCATACCACAACGGCAACAAAATAAAAGTTCTTACAAATAAACTACCAGCATGTTACAATTTGTGCTTTTACAGAGCCTCCATTCTATCTCTTAGAACTAAAAAAAGAAAACCTTCATAAACATCATAAAATGTTACAAGGTGGAGATTATGTTTCCCTCCCTTTACAACTGGAGGAAGGAAGGGTTCTTGCCTTGTTGTGATTGGCCTTGTGGGTTTACATGGTGCCACTCCACTGTTATGACTAGACGGGAAGGGCAAGCTGTGCCAAGTTCAAGCCCAGAAAATGACCGAAGCCATCCTCCATCTGGCCAGACCAGCAGCTTGGACGCAGGAGCACCACCAACCTTACTCAAGGACAACGAGAGTGGGGTTATTCCTAAATCGAAGATACTTTTCAGCCTCCCTTTACATGAGACTTTATTGATATGCATCATCGTTGGCCCTGGGCCCCTTGGGATCTCAAGACCCAGTCATTTATGTTTGTACTGCACCCCAGCCTATCAGCCCTGACCCTACAAGCTGTAGTTACTCCTCCCAGGTTCACTGAGGTCCTTTGGGCTTTCTTTTATATTGCTGCCCCCTTACCCCAACACACCTCTCATAAGATACAGCTGACTCATTGAAATGATCCCATTTCATCTCAGCTGGGCTTTTAAATTCTCTTCATTGACACTGGCAATTTTTAATTTGTTATTCAATTAGGCAGGTATGTTGTGTGTTTGATTTTTTATGGGGGGCATAGAGGTGAAGGTGGAGATTGGGCAAGGGATGGGAGAGTAGAGAAAGATAATGGAAACATCTTCCAATGGTTCAGCTCTATCAATATGGGTAGAAAATTTTATAGGGAGGGAAAGAAAAAAATATTAGGATGTGAAGACACAGGAGTACATGGTGGAACCTGTATGCCATGCGGCTGTGGGTGACACACTGTGCCCCTTATTCTGACGTTCCCAAAGCATTGGGAGAAACTTTACCCAAACTCTAAACTGATGCCCAGCTAGAGACGACAAAGAACAAAATAATCGGCATCAGTTATACACAATGTCTGTAGGATTTTTCCTACTCTCACTGAGTTTTGATAAACTGCCAAAAACAGAAGTCCCTCCAGTGCTTGTTAAAGTGTGTGGGAGGGGCTCATGGCCCTAATGGGTCTATCAACACCATGTCACCTTCTCATGAGTGGCCTCAGTCATGGGCCAACAGATTCCTTCAAGGGAAGATTCAATTTGGGAAAGAGCTCAATGTAACTTAGAGTCCAACTGGATAATAAAAAGTAGGCAAACAATTTAAAAAATAGCCACCTCCTCCAGTATTCTGGTTTTGGGGTGATATTTTTAATTTTTTTGTTGTTGTTGTGTCTTGAAAACTGACTCTGAATATAATTCCAAATGGAGACTTCCAAAAATCTGTTGGGTAATGGCAGCATCACTGGAAAAAGCTTGGAGTGGCCAACAAAATTTCTTTGAGAAACTACACGCATTTAACATACACATTCTGGTGTGTTTGGCTCATAAAAAGCTTACTGATTTGTGACTACAGTCACATATCACATAAATTGCTCTACTGAAATTCTTCTTAAAATGAATTGCCTCACTCCATTTTACAAGGAGTCAGCATGGACTCATTCTGAAGGCTCGTGTTACACAGATTTCTTCTTTTCTGCCAAAATCACTATTGCTACATTTACCATGTAAACTATGAGGCCGGGTAATTAAAAGTAAGTTAAGACTTGTCAAAATAAACG